ACGACCGGGAAGAGGTGTCGAGCAACGACGGGGAAGGCTAAGGCTGCGGGGACAGACCGGGAAGGCGTCGAGCAAACCGGGAAGGCCCCGACAGAAGACATGGAAGGCGTCGAGGAAGGACCGGGAAGGTGTCGAGCCGGGAAGGCCCCGTAAAAAAAACGGGACGGCGTTAAGAAAGGACCGAGATGGCCCCGGGACAAAACCGGGATGGCGTGGAGCAATGGCCGGGAAGGCGTCGAGCAAAGACTGGGCAGGCTGCGGGGAAAGACCGGAAAGGCGTCGAGCAATGACCAGGCAGGGAAGGCCCCGGGAGAACACCGGGAAGGCGCCGAGCAATGACCGGAAAGGGGTCGAACAAAAGACAAAGACCGGGAGGGCTGCGGGGAAAGACCGGGAAGGCTGCGGGGAAAGACCCGGAAGGTGTCGAGCAATAACCGAAAGGTTCTGGGAGAAGACCAAAAAGGCGTCCAGGAAGGACCGGGAAGGCGTTGCGCGAAGACCGGGAAGGCCCCGAAGGAAGACCGGGAAGGGTTCGGAGAAGACAGGGAAGGCGTCCAGGAAGGACCGGGAAGGCATCGAGGAAAGACCGGGAAAGCGTCAAGCAACGTCGAGCAATGACCGGGAGAAGACCGGGGAGGGCGTCGAGCAATGACCAGGAAGGCGTCGAGCAATGACCGTGAAGGCAGGAAGGGGAAAGACCGGGAAGGCGTCGAGGAAGGACCGGGAAGGCCCCGGGAGAAGACCGGGAAGGTGTCGAGGAATGACCGGGAAGGCTGCGGGGAAAGACCGGGAAGGCTGGAAGGCAAGACCGGGAAGGCGTCCAGCAAAGACCGGGAAAACATCGAGCAAAGACCGGGAAGGCGTCGGGAGAAGACCGGAAAGGCGTCGAGCAATGACCGGGCAGGCGTCGAGCAAAGACTAAGAAGGCTGCGGGGAAAGACCGGGAAGGCGTCGAGCAATGACCGGGAAGGGGTCGAACAAAGACCGGGAAGAAAGACCGGGAGGGCTGCGGGGAAAGACCGGGAAGGCTGCGGGGAAAGACCGGGAAGGTGTCGAGCAATGACCGGAAGGTTCCGGGAGAAGACCGGGAAGGCGTCGAGGAAGGACCGGGAAGGCGTCGCGCGAAGACCGGGAAGGCCCCGAAAAAAGACCGGAAAGGCCCCGGGAGAAGACAAAGAAGGCGTCCAGAAGGACCGGGAAGGCCCCGAGGGAAGACCGGAAAGGCCCCGGGAGAAGACAAAGAAGGCGTCCAGAAGGACCGGGAAGGCGTCGAGGAAACCGGGAAGGCCCCGGGAGCATACCGGGATGGCGTCGAGCAATGACCGGGAAGGTGTCGAGCAATGACCGTGAAGACGTCGAGCAATGAGGCGTCGAGGAGAAGACCGGGAAGGCGTCGAGGGAAGACCGGGAAGGACCCGAGCAAAGACCGGGAAGGCGTCGAGCAATGACCGGCAAGGGGTCGAACAAAGACCGGGAAGAAAGACCGGGAGGGCTGCGGGGAAAGACCGGGAAGGCTGCGGGGAAAGACCGGGAAGGTGTCGAGCAATAACCGGAAGGTTCCGGGAGAAGACCGGGAAGGCGTCGAGGAAGGACCGGGAAGGCGTCGCGCGAAGACCGGGAAGGCCCTGAGGGAAAACCGGGAAAGCCCCAGGAGAAGACAGGGAAGGCGTCGAGGAAGGACCGGGAAGGCCCGGGAGAAGACCGGGACGGTGTCGAGCAATGACCGGCAAGGGGTCGAACAAAGACCGGGAAGGCTGGGGGGAAAGACTTGGGCTGAAGCGCACAGTGCGCTTGCAGTAAGCACACTGCGTGCTCAGCACCAATCTCCAAGGCTCTGCTCGGACAGGGCCCAAGACCTTGCTGGCTGCGCTTGCCGGTTGCTCCCCCTGACAAAGCCCTGTGACGCCTGGTCTCGGTCGGAGCGTCGAGGAAAGACCGGGAAGGCCCCGGGAGCAGACCGGGGAGGCGTCGAACAATGACCGGGAAAGCGTCGAGCAATGACCGTGAAAACGGAGAAGACCGGGATGGCGTCGAGGGAAGAAAGGGAAGGACCCGGGAGAAGACCGGGGAAGGCGTCGAGCGATGACGTCAAGCAATGACCGTGAAGGCAAAAAGGGGAAAGACCGGGAAGGCGTCGAGGAAGGAGCGGGAAGGCCCCGGGAGAAGACCGGGAAGGTGTCGAGCAATGACCGGGAAGGCTGCGGGGAAAGACCGGGAAGGCTGGGGGGAAAGACCGGGAAGGCGTCGAGCAAAGACCGGGAAGGCGTCGAGCAAAGACCGGAAAGGCCCCGGGAGAAGACCGGAAAGGCGTCGAGCAATGACCGGCAAGGGGTCGAACAAAGACCGGGAAGAAAGACCGGGAGGGCTGCGGGGAAAGACCGGGAAGGCTGCGGGGAAAGACCGGGAAGGTGTCGAGCAATAACCGGAAGGTTCCGGGAGAAGACCGGGAAGGCGTCGAGGAAGGACCGGGAAGGCGTCGAGCAAAGACCGGGAAGGCCGCGAGGGACAACCGGGAAAGCTCCAGGAGAAGACAGGGAAGGCGTCGAGGAAGGACCGGGAAGGCCCGGGAGAAGACCGGGACGGTGTCGAGCAATGACCGGGAAGGCTGCGGGGAAAGACCGGGAAGGCTAGGGGGAAAGACTTGGGCTGAAGCGCACAGTGCGCTTGCAGTAAGCACACTGCGTGCTCAGCACCAATCTCCAAGGCTCTGCTCGGACAGGGCCCAAGACCTTGCTGGCTGCGCTTGCCGGTTGCTCCCCCTGACAAGGCCCTTACCAAACATCTTCATGCCGACCTCTCACCTGTGACGCCTGGTCTCGGTCGGAGCGTCGAGGAAAGACCGTGCGCTTGCAGTAAGCACACTGCGTGCTCAGCACCAATCTCCAAGGCTCTGCTCGGACAGGGCCCAAGACCTTGCTGGCTGCGCTTGCCGGTTGCTCCCCCTGACAAAGCCCTTACCAAACATCTTCATGCCGACCTCTCACCTGTGACGCCTGGTCTCGGTCGGAGCGTCTTTCCGGGAGCAGACCGGGAAGGCGTCCAACAATGACCGGGAAAGCGTCGAGCAATGACCGTGAAAACGGAGAAGAGCGGAATCGCGTCGAGGGAAGACCGGGAAGGACCCGGGAGAAGACCGGGGAAGGCGTCGAGCAATGACGTCGAGCAATGACCGTGAAAGACCGGGAAGGCGTCGAGGAAGGACCGGGAAGGCCCCGGGAGAAGACCGGGAAGGTGTCGAGCAATGACCGGGAAGGCTGCGGGGAAAGACCGGGAAGGCTGGGGGGAAAGACCGGGAAGGCGTCGAGCAAAGACCGGGAAGGCGTCGAGCAAAGACCGGGAAGGCCCCGGGAGAAGACCGGAAAGGCGTCGAGCAATGACCGGCAAGGGGTCGAACAAAGACCGGGAAGAAAGACCGGGAGGGCTGCGGGGAAAGACCGGGAAGGCTGCGGGGAAAGACCGGGAAGGTGTCGAGCAATAACCGGAAGGTTCCGGGAGAAGACCGGGAAGGCGTCGAGGAAGGACCGGGAAGGCGTCGCGCGAAGACCGGGAAGGCCCCGAGGGAAAACCGGGAAAGCCCCAGGAGAAGACAGGGAAGGCGTCGAGGAAGGACCGGGAAGGCCCGGGAGAAGACCGGGACGGTGTCGAGCAATGACCGGGAAGGCTGCGGGGAAAGACCGGGAAGGCTGGGGGGGAAAGACTTGGGCTGAAGCGCACAGTGCGCTTGCAGTAAGCACACTGCGTGCTCAGCACCAATCTCCAAGGCTCTGCTCGGACAGGGCCCAAGACCTTGCTGGCTGCGCTTGCCGGTTGCTCCCCCTGACAAAGCCCTTACCAAACATCTTCATGCCGACCTCTCACCCGCTGTGTGCAACCTGAACGCATGTGCGCGCGCATCTACGCAGCACGGTCACTACTAAGTGGACAAACATGGTCACAAATGAGTAGCACCCTATGTTCAGAAATGAGACAAAACATATGGTCAGATTTGAGTGGAAATTATGGTCAGAAATGAGGTGTGTACCGCCACTGATCAAGTTCCAACATTAGCAAGAAAGCAACCAGAACCAAAATAAATCTGCAAATACGGCAGTGAAGCGAGATAAGCCGCCACAAACCAGGTAACAAGCCACAAACCAGGTAACAAACCAAAAAGGCCGGAGATCCGCACCTGCTCATGGCTGGGAATATCCCTAAGCGTCATTTCCCGGGCTTTGATTGTGGCTCAAGTGGCCAGGCGGCAAGACGAGCAAGCAAAGAAGCAGGCAGGCCTTCACCCGAACACACACTCATGATAAAGAAGCGCCTACACAAAGGATTGCGGCCGCAAGTCCACCGACAAGAACACCTAGCTTCATGGTCGGGCGTCCCTTTCTCGGAGAATATTTTTGCCAAGTGTGTGATCCTGTTGGGGTTGCGTTGAAGGAGAACCAATCCACAAAGCCCAGTGTTTGGTCAATGCAGCATGCAGAGACACAGCCAACAGCCAAAGACCCTCCGCCAAATTACAACTCACGGTGATCTTGATTATTCCCAAGAGAAAACAAATTCCGGACAGAAAACAACATGGAAGGTCTATCTAGGTCCCTCCCGCGGCTAAAGTTCTTCGATCTAGGAAAATCCATCTTGTGAGTGGTCCCCAAACCATCAAACTTAGAGATAAACTTCCCAAACAGGCGCAAGGGGGCCCACAGGAGCTCCTGATCCGGGTTTCGTATGACTTTCATGCGACTGTTTCGGGGTCTTCTTCGATGTCAAGTTTTATTTTCGGGAGGCTGGGGGGAAATCCAAGATCCAAGTCTCAGCTGGCTCACCCTAAGCTCTCCCCAGGAATCTGAGATCAAGTCTTGGGCCCATAAAAACAAAAAAACACCACTGGTAGGGGAGGGTTGTTTTGGGAACCCCCCCCTCTCTTTAGCTCACGTGCTGCTGTGGAGCTCAGCACACCTGTTCCGTAAAGTAGCTGGAAATCCGATTTCCCCCCCAAACGAAAGCTCGGGCACAAAGAACTTGACGAAGACCGACTTGCCAGCGGTCATCTCCTTGGGCTCGCCAGGCCGGAAATCCAACTTGCTGAGCTCGACTTCGGGATGCCATAGGGCGCTACTAGAGGGGGGGTGGGGACCTAAAAAAGGGAAGCCTACCTTTGTGGACATGTGTGGGCCGAAAGGAAACCACTCCATCGTGGAGGGACACTTTTAGGACACTCCCAGTCGTTTGCCCTCAAAGTTCAGCAGTGAACAACAGAGAGCCCCATCCTTCTCCAAATGACAAGGGTGTGGCTCAAAATTCGAGAACGGTTAGGCAGGTTTTCGCCTTTGGCATTGACCAAGGTGCCATGTTGGTACAGTTCTTTGAGCCACAGCCTTGGGAAGAAACACAACAAGCACCGCCCCTCCCCCCCAATTTCGTTCATAACATAAACACACAAGCACCAGGAGGGGGGAAAAAGAAAAAACAAAACAGCACCTACATTTGTCTGGGGGGCGATTACTGGCCTCCGGGCAAGCCAACTGGGAGGGGCGTAGGGTCCAAGAACCAGAAGAGGACATTCCACCAACAAAAACTGGTGGGTTCATGTTCGGTGTCGGGGCAGAACATTCCAAGGCGACACAGCGACACGCCAAGGTGACACCCCCGTTCAGCCAAGGCTCGTCCCAGGTGTCTTTGGTCACCTCTACCGCCGACACCGCAGTGAGGAGACACAAGATCCGTGCCATGGCCATGGCTGCGAGAGTTCCCGGGGCTGAGTTGTGAGTGTGGGCGAGCCAAACTTGCGGAAAAGAGAGCGAGCAACGTGTCCGCCTCAGCTCTTGCACGTGTTCGATGCTGGGAACAGGCGAACCTCATTTCATACAGAAAGTAACATCAAAAGAGATCCTGCCGTGAACACAAGGGGCAGCAAAACCTCGGGCATCTTCAAGTGGAGGTGTGGCTTCGTGGCAGGGCTCTTTGACTTGACGCCCGGTGAATGTCCACATAGCTTTGATCTTCATATGTCCCATGCCGAAGGCTTGGGCTGGTGAATACCATTCCTCGTTAGCTCACTCTTTGAGTTGGTTGGCCAAAACTCGCCGCCAATACTCGTGCCTTGTTTACCGCCGAACCTGCTGTGCACGGACGAAATCCATTTCGCACCACCTAAGGATCCCTGGAAGGATGATTCCCCTGCGAATACCAACGAACCATGGTTCATGGGTTCTTAGGTGGTGCCGACGTCCACCATGTCTTCCCAAAAAGGTATGAATCCAGCAACCGAGGTGAGGGCAGATCCCTCAACCTTTCCCCAACATCTGCGAGAATCTCGGCAGAGAGGTGGGGTCCCCGAATTCCCGAATTCCCATTTCCGCAGTCTTGCAGTCAACCCCCCGTTCAGCCATTCGTTTTAGGGTCGAGGATCTTGACACGCCCACCATCTGCAGAAAAAAGCGGCCCTCTCCTTTTTTCCCCGGCCCGCGCGAGGAAACTGAGGACTCCTGGCAGCAACGCCAGGCGAGTGGGGCTTTGCAACGAGGGCGACGAGTAAGGGCCCAAGACTTGGGACATACCACAGAAAAGCTCAGAAAGGAACGGGCTGAAAAAACGCGGCATGGGATGACTTCTCAACCTTCAGCGAGGTCAAGCCGAAGTCTGCGCAACTGAAAACTGGAGGAATGGTCCTCCATCAGCTTGTCCCAAGCCGGCTTCATGTTCCTGAGGGCCCACGTGAAAAAATGAGACGCCTGACTACTCAAGGAAACGGTTTGGATGCGCTCTTTGTGGATTTCACCGGTTCTTTTTTAGTACTCTTTTAGTACTCGCTTGATATCCTACAGGGGTGGATCCACAAAAACCGCATCCAATCCGTTTCCCAGAACTACAGCCTGGTGGCTTCCAGGGGTGGCATTCCTCAAAAACGAATTCAGGATCCGCTCGAAAGTCGGCCGCCCTTCTGTGAATCAACCAGGCCACTCCTGGGCTTCCATTGATCGCGCATGCCAAGTCGAAGGTGCGATGCCCAATGGGCCCAAGCACGACGTGGAAATGACTAGTCACGGATCAAGGTATCTGCATGTCCCTGGGGGCACGCCCCAAATATAGGTATGTCAACATATCTATATATATAATTATATATGTGTGTGTGTGCAAATGCCCTTACATACCCCCCAAATAAATCCCGCGTACAGATTGGCACCCCTGCCCCCCCCCAACCGCCCAACCAGGCAGGGTTTCAAGGCAATATACGTATACATATAGATATACACACACACACATACACACATACATGTACAAAAGAAGAAAAACAAGTATATCTCTATGCCCCCCCCCCCCCCGGCCACAAAAGGGTCTGAGGAACCCTCCTTGGTGCTGCCCCCTAAACTTGGTTTCCGAGCCTCATGCGCATTCCCCGGCCGAGGCTCGTCCCAGGTGTTGGTGGCTTCCACCGCCGCTGATATTTTGAGGCGCAGCGTGCGGCCCATGGCTGTGACTTGGAGAAATCGGATATGTCGGAGCGAGCGCCCGGGCCAAACCTGCGGACGAGACCCCCTGATTGCCCTGGTTCCCATTCCCTGGCCGGATTGATAGGCTCCAGACCAGTGCGGCTTTGGGGTGAGAAACCCGACGCAGAGGTGAGCAGATCACGCTCCCACACACCGAGACTTGCGCGCCCCCTTTTTTCTATCCTGTTGCCTTGGTGCCTTGCGAAGCAGTTGGTTGGCCTTTTCTCTAAGCTGCCCATTTCCAGACCCGGAAATCACAAGAAATAACTTCTTGACAACTGAGTCAGTGGGGTTGTGGGGTAAAACCATCTGCTGATCGCAGAATGGGTGTAAAATGCGTTTCACCCCTGAGATTATTCCTTCTGGGAGGAAAGCCACCTGCTTCACGGGCTTCAGCCTTGAAATCGCTGCCTTGGTTGCGAAGCTCCCCCCCCTTGTTTTGATCTGTTTCAGGCTTGAACCACCAACAAAGATTGTGTGCCCGCCACCCCCCCCAAAAAAGAAAAAAGCCCATTTCTGCCCCAAGGGAGGGAAGCTTCTTGACCACCAGAGTTTTCTGCTATTTACACCGGCGCGCGCTTCAGGAACCGGAAACTTCTCAGTCCCCGTGCCGCCCTCCGCCCTTCTCGCAACCACTTCAGCGTTGGAAACCCGCCCCCTTTCCGCGAGGAAACTGCCGATTCGAAGGGTCCCATTTACATCTCCCATCTCCCGTGCCTTTCCCGTGCCCCTTCATTTCTCATCCCTCTACTTCTTGCAGAAGTGGCAACCTGAAACCCGACTTGAGGCTCACAGCTCCGCAAAGCCTTCGTGGCCCCGCGGCTGTGCAGCGCCGCCCTTGGCACCGGCCTGTGCATCGCCGGAGGCGCGCTGGCGGTTGTACGCCTGGCGCGAAAACGCGGGGGCGCGCCTGGCTTAGAGACTTGGCCCAGAGGACCATGAAGGAAACTTAGCAACTGACCTCTTACTCATTAAGTGGGCAAAGATGCCTGTTGCCACAGTTCCAAGCTCCAAGTGGGCATGTGCCAAAATAAGCCCCCCGCACGCAACAATCTCTGTGGCACGTGTCCTTTCCCCGGCCCTGAACCTCTCACACAACTCCTTCGAATTCGAATGATTGCCCCTTCCATTTGCTTGTTCGTCCCCTGGAGAGAAAAAGACATACTTCCAGTAGTGAAATCGATTCCCTTTCAAACCAACAGGGGATTAAAAAATCCTTCCAGCAAATGGAAGATAAAAACTGACCCATAGAAGCGAACGCCCGAAGATTAAACACAAAATACAAAGCAGGGATCCGGATGCATTATACACCTGAGCATTGCAACTTGTAAATGGTGGGTTCCAACTTTATTTGGGTGTTTAAAAAGCCACCATGTTTCAAATGGCCACGCAAAAAAAATGAAACTATCTTGTAAGGAGCCCTGGAACCTTCCATTTGCTTAAGCCCCCGGCAAAATATATATATATATATATGTATATATATATATATATGTATATTTCCAGTAGTGAAATCGATTCCCTTCTAGCCCATGGGCCTTCCCGCCTGCACGGCCTTCATTAAGCCCAGCCCTGCATCCTTGATCGCCTTCTCCTTCTTCGCCTTAGGCGTGCCCACACCCACCCCGAACACCAGCGCAATCCAAACCAACGCAACCAAAAACACAGCCAAACACACAAGCAACAAAAAGAGGTGGGGAAAAAACAAGACCAAAAACAACGCGGGTGCGCCCTCACGGTTGATACTTCCCCATGTCACGACCCCTCCAATCCCCGGCCGTCCTTGGCCACCTCAGCTTCATTGTATCTCCTCTGAATCTTCTCGAAGAAGCCCTGGGCCGGATGGGCACAAACTCAACAAACACAAACCATCAAGCCCCTGCCGCATGCCCTTGTGTCTTTTTCTCTTTTGAGGCTACGTTATGGGGGAGGGGGGGTGCAAAAACGCCAAAGGAATGTTTACCCGCTGTTTCCTTTTCTCCCTGTGATGATTGGTCCCCCCAGCCCCCCAGCTCCCCGCAGCCCCACCCCCCTAGCCCCCAGCCGCCACCCCGCCCCCAGCAGCCTTCAGCTCCTTCTCGGCTGAAACGATGAGGTCCTCCTGCTTCTTGATCTTAAACTTCAGCTCGCCTCGTGCTCCCGAGGCTCTGCTTTTGATCCCCCCCCCCCAAACCCCAAACTGGTTCAAACCCAAAAAGGTAGTATAGAAAAAGAAACGGCCAGAGATGAGTGCAGACTACCCGTTTTTGGGGTGGTGTTAAAGGCACACACACCCCCCAGAAAAAAAACAAAACAAAAAAGGAAGCCAAAGGGAAGCCAAAAGGGCAGCCAAAAGGGAAACCAAAAGGGAAACCAAAGGGCAAAGGGAAACCACTTATCTTGCAACAAAAAGAAGCAGGCCCAAATGGAACCCAATTCAGGTCCAAGGGGCTCATAGGCATAGCCATGAACTCGTCGAGCTTTTCCTTCTTCTCCTCATCGCAGAGGTCCATCCGGTCCGGGCTGCAGATGGGCCCCAGGCTCTCCTCACGCACTTCCATTTCCAAAATGTGACACTCTGATCTAGGCTGGAATTAGGACCCCAGCAACAAAATATTGTTTTGCCTGGTTAGCGGAAAACAAAGGGACCCAAAAAAAGCCCAAAAAGAAAGAAAGAAGGGGGAGCTAATTCTGGGGAAGTGATTGGGTGACCCTACAAGGTTCCAACAATTGGCATTATCCCTTGGTGCAAGCTGGAACCCGTTTATTAAGTTCCGTTTGCTGGAGCCCGTTTGCTGAGTTGACTGGAACAAAGCTCAAACTTTCTAGGCAATGGAAAAAACCAAGCACCAAAGCGTGCAAACTTGGCCAATCTGGGAACCTCTCACCGACGCACCCGCTTGTTGGCTTTCTTAAACCAGGAGGAGGAGAAAAAGAAGAAGAAGAAAAAGTTGTGTACCCTCACAAAGACAAAACTTCAAAGAGGGCCCCCCTTTCCGCAAGGCTGAAAACTCCGGGGTCAACATCCCGTGTTGACCCCCCGCTTTGCAGAACGCGAAGCTTGACGCCAGTGAAAGCCCGGCAGCCCTCACGGCTCCCACTTCCTCCGTGAAGTTGCGCAGGGCATCCAGGTCTCGAGCACCCTTGTAGTCCTATCGGCCGAGGGCTGGCTTTAGATCGCACAAGGCGTGACGAGCGCTATCCCCCCCCCTCAATGCCATCTTTGTTGGCTGCCCTTGCCCAAGGACGTCGAAAGTAAAGGCTACATATTCGCCCACCGTAGCCATGTTTGTGGGGGAATACATTCAAATGGGAACGGAGCCTGTCCCAGCAGCAAGTCTTCCAACATGTCGCATGGTGGAGGCCGGGCTTCCATGTTGACTGAGGCTTCATCACTTGAGGGGGCCCCCACCCCCTTATTTATAGGAGGGGGTTGTCAATCCGGGGCCCGGATGGCCCTCACAGACGCCTGTAGAAATGCGACTTTCCTCTTGGAAAGGGGCTTTGTGCTTCCGTGTATTCAAGATGCAGCTTTTTGCTCGTTTGGACATCCAGGGCCACGTAGGCCCTACGTTCATGCAACCTGACCCTTAAGCACCCTGGGACACTCCGAAGCCAATCGCCAGTCCTCCAGATTGTTGGGATCCCCATACCTCGGCTCCGGACTGGGGTTTTCCCACCGCCAGTTGAAGGTAGCTGGCACACCTCCCCGAGCGGATGTCCTCAATCACCTTGTAGTTGGTTTGGCTTGGTGCTTGATACCTCGGGGGGTACCTTTACCATGCCTCAAAGGAACTAAGCTTCAAATCCGCAAATCACCATTCCAAACCGCCTTAATGGGCCACCTGAAAAATAGGTCCTGCCATCAAACGAACAACTTTGTAGGGGAGTGCCATCTACTTTCACACTGGTGTAAATTTCAGACCTCTCTTTTGCAGTGTTTGAAGGGTGCGGCCGAAAGCTGGCAAAGGAAGACCGCTCCAACTCACGCAATCGTATTAAGGTGGGTGGCTGGTTCCATGTCCCAGAACTCACGGGCTCATAAACCGGTTCGTGGCTGTCTGCCTCTCAGACGCAAAAACACCGAAGACCCCACCCAGCCCGCCAGCTAGCCAGCCACCCCTGCGCTCGTTCGAGGCATCGCCGTGGTGCTTCAAAGTGGGGGTGCCCTCGACGCCCCACTCGTCGCACTTGGACTTGCCGCCGCCGGCGCAGTCCACTTCGGCCACCAGGATGCTCGGGTGCTCAGAGTACTCCTCGCGGAAAGAAAAATGCGATTTTGCCCGAACCCACCTGGGTTGGTGCGCTGGAAAACGAACGTGGTCTTTCAGCCCTTGCTTGGGTGACCCTACATGGGTTCTAACAAATGGGATCTAGAATGGTACACATGATTGTCCTTTGGTGCAGGCTGGAATCCATTTATTAGAACCCTTTTAAGGGCGCCCCCCCTACCGATTTTCACGATTGTTGATAGGCAAGGCGTGCAGCTGGGTGAAAGTAGACTTGCCCGCAGAAAGGCAATTGTGCCGTCTACCTTTCACCCAAAGCAAAAAGTGTGGAGATCTCGGGTCGCATTCCGGCCCGCATCTCCCCAGGGCTCCTGCATCAGCTTATCCCAGGCCGGCTTGAGCCTTTTGCAGTGGCCGCACCATGGCGCCTGATTCGATCACCAGACATGCTGCGTTTCTTTTCCAACCCTGGAACCGCAAGACCATGCAAAACCCCTCCTCCCCCCCAAAAAAAAAGGAAGAAAAAAAAACGCCGCGACGGTCCCATCGGGTCGAACCCGCAAGACCATGCAAAACAAAAAAACAAGCGGCGCGACTCGCGACGTGCCAATCGGGCCTGTGGGAGCTGAGGATTTCTTCGCCCCACGTGACGGAACCCACGAACTGAGAGCTCTCCCATCCCTAAGGCCTCCAAACAGCCAACCCCACCGCGCAAACACACGCGAAGACATACTCGATAAATGATGACAGTGTTATGCATGTTTGTGCAGCTGCTCTTTATACATTCGCATATACGTGTGTAAGTATCTATAAAGATATATATATATATAGACATATGGGAACCAATATGTATTTATATGTCTGAATATGAATATGCGCTTATATGTATATAGCGAGTGTTGGGTTGCCTTCAAATTTTGAGGTCGACCAACCGAAAGTGCGCAAAGGGCCCCCGTTCCGAAGATCCGGCGACTCGAGTCCAAACGACAGTGCGCTCACTTGTTCAAGGCCGGCCGGGCAACTTTCACCTGGCAACATGGAAACAATTACACACACACACACAAAAAAAAAAAAAACATTATTAGTTGAAGAAAAAAGAAACAACATAATTTGCAGGCCGGCCGGCCGAAACTTCCACCAAGGGCTCACCTTCAAAACGCCGCGCGATTCGTGGGCCGTGCCAAGTCCGATTCAACCAGACTCGAGCCCTTTCCCGGGGGCCCTGAAGACTGCGAAAGGGCCACCGCGTTTAGACGCGGGCCTGGAGAATTGAGGCGCCTGGGGTCTGAGCTCGGAATCTGGTGGGACCTGGGCGTGGCTCAAAATTAAACGATCGGAGGGGCAAACCGCGGGTTTTGGTTTTCCCATGCTTCCACTTGACAGGGTTCCGTTTTGGTGCCGGATTTTTGAGCCACGGCCTGGTCGAAACCAGACGACTCGGAATGGCCACGCGCGCGCGGTTTAGGAAATCTTCACGCGGCAAAGCCTTCCAAACGGGCGACGAAGGGATGTAATGTGGGGTGTCTGAACGCAGCTTGCTGTGCATTCCTACGGGCTGTACTGGTGCAGTGTACGTGTGCACGTGCATTGATACACACATATTTGGATTGAGGCACATGTAACTCTATGTAACTCCACAATGATGCGTGCACAATGTGCATGTACGTATGTATGTGAGTATGTACGTATGTATGTATGCAATGTATGTATGCATGTATGTACGTACGTACGTATGTATTTATGTATGTAGGTAAATAGGTAGGTAGCCATGTATGCATACATGTATGTAGGTATGTAAGTATGTAGGTATGTAGGTAGGTAAGAATATAGGTATGTAGGCATGTAGGTATGTAGTTCTGTAGGTATGTAGGAATGTAGGTATGTAGGTATGTAGGTATGTAGGTATGCAGGTATGCAGGTATGTAGGTATGCAGGTATGTAGGTATGTAGGTATGTAGGCATGTAAGCATGTAGGTATGTAGGTATGTAGGCATGTAAGCATGTAGGTATGTAGGTATGTAGGTATGTAGGCATGTAAGCATGTACGTATGTAGGTATGTAGGTATGTAGGTATGTAGGTATGTAGGTATGTAGGTATGTAGGTATGTTGGTATGTAGGTATGTAGGTACGTAGGTATGTATGTAGGTATGTAGGTATGTAGGCATGTAGGCATGTAGGTATGTAGGTATGTAGGCATGTAGGCATGAAGGTATGTAGGTACGTAGGTATGTAGGTATGTAGGTATGTAGGTATGTAGGCATGTAAGCATGTAGGTATGTAGGTATGTAGGTATGTAGGCATGTAGGCATGTAAGCATGTAGGTATGTAGGCACGTAGGTATATAGATATGTAGGTATGTAGGTACGTAGGTATGTAAGCATGTACGTATGTAGGTACGTAGGTATGTAGGTATGTAGGTATGTAGGTATGTAGGTATGTAGGCATGTAGGTACGTAGGCATGTAGGTAGGTAGGTATGTAGGTATGTAGGTATGTAGGTATGTAGGCATGTAGGTAGGTAGGTATGTAGGTATGTAGGTATGTAGGCATGTAAGCATGTAGGTATGTAGGCACGTAGGTATGTAGGTATGTAAGCATGTAGGTATGTAGGTATGTAGGCACGTAGGTATGTAGGTATGTAAGCATGTAGGTATGTAAGAGTGTAGGTATGTAGGTATGTAGGTACGTAGGTATGTAGGCATGTAGGTATGTAGGTACGTAGGTATGTAGGTATGTATGTATGTAGGTATGTAGGTATGTAGGTATGTAGGTATGTAGGTATGTAGGTATGTAGGTATGTAGGTATGTATGTAGGCATGTAGGTAGGTAGGTATGTAGGTATGTAGGTATGTAAGCATGTAGGTACGTAGGTATGTAGGCACGTAGGTATGTAGGTATGTATGTAGGCATGTAGGTATGTAGGCATGTAGGTATGTAGGAATCTATGTATGTAGGCATGTAGGTATGTAGTTATGTAGGTATGTAGGTATGTAGGAATGTATGTAGGTATGTAGATTTGTAGGTATGCAGGTATGCAGGTATGTAGGTATGCAGGTACGTAGGTATGTAGGTATGTAGGCATGTACGTATGTAGGTACGTAGGTATGTAGGTATGTAAGCATGTAGGTATGTAGGTATGTAGGTATGTAGGTATGTAGCCATGTATGTATGTAGGTACATAGGCATGTAGGTATGTAGGTACGTAGGTATGTAGGTATGTAGGTATGTAGGCATGTAGGTAGGTAGGTAGGTAGGTATGTAGGTATGTAGGCATGTAAGCATGTAGGTATGTAGGCACGTAGGTATGTAGGTATGTAAGCATGTAGGTATGTAGGTATGTAGGTATGTAGGCACGTAGGTGTGTAGGTATGTAAGCATGTAGGTATGTAGGTATGTATATGTAGGTACGTAGGTATGTAGGTATGTAAGCATGTAGGTATGTAGGTACGTAGGTATGTAGGTATGTAGGTATGTATGTAGGTATGTAGGTATGTAGGTATGTAGGTACGTAGGTATGTAGGTATGTAGGCATGTAGGTAGGTAGGTATGTAGGTATGTAGGTATGTAGGCATGTAAGCATGTGGGTATGTAGGCACGTAGGTATGTAGGTATGTAAGCATGTAGGTATGTAAGAGTGTAGGTATGTAGGTATGTAGGTACGTAGGTATGTAGGTACGTAGGTATGTAGGTACGTAGGTACGTAGGTAGGTATGTATGTATGTATGTATGTAGGCATGTAGGTATGTAGGCATGTAGGTATGTAGGTACGTAGGTATGTAGGTATGTAGGTATGTAGGCATGTAGGTATGTAGGCATGTAGGTATGTAGGCACGTAGGTATGTAGGCATGTAGGTATGTGGGCATGTAGGTATGTAGGTACGTAGGCATGTAGGTATGCAGGCATGTAGGTATGTAGGTATGTAGGTATGTAGGTATGTATGTATGTAGGCATGTAGGTATGTAGGCATGTAGGTATGTAGGTATGCAGGTATGTAGGTACGTAGGTATGTAGGTATGTAGGAATGTAAACATGTAGGTATGTAGGTATGTAGGCATGTAGGTATGTAGGTATGTAGGTATGTAGGTATGCTGGTATGCTGGTATGCAGGTACGCAGGTATCTAGGTACGTATGTATGCAGGTATGTAGGTATGTAGGTATGTAGGCATGTAGCTATGTAGGTATGTAGGTATGTAGGTATGTAGGTATGCTGGTATGCTGGTATGCAGGTACGTAGGTATGTAGGTACGTAGGTATGCAGCTATGTAGGCATGTAGGCATGTAAGCATGTAGGTATGTAGGTATGTAGGTAGGTAGGTATGTAGGCATGTAGGCATGTAGGCATGTAAGCATGTAGGTATGTAGGTACGTAGGTATGTATGTATGGGTAAGGGGATGTATGTATGTAGGCATGTAGGTATGTAGGCATGTAGGTACGTAGGTACGTAGGTATGTATGTATGTAGGCATGTAGGTATGTAGGCATGTAGGTATGTAGGTACGTAGGTATGTATGTATGTAGGCATGTAGGTATGTAGGTATGTAGGTACGTAGGTATGTATGTATGTAGGCATGTAGGTATGTAGGCATGTAGGTATGTAGGTACGTAGGTAGGTAGGTAGGTATGTATGCATGTAGGTATGTAAGAGTGTAGGTATGTAGGTATGTAGGTACGTAGGTATGTAGGTACGTAGGTATGTAGGTACGTAGGTACGTAGGTAGGTATGTATGTATGTATGTATGTAGGCATGTAGGTATGTAGGCATGTAGGTATGTAGGTACGTAGGTATGTAGGTATGTAGGTATGTAGGCATGTAGGTATGTAGGCATGTAGGTATGTAGGCACGTAGGTATGTAGGCATGTAGGTATGTGGGCATGTAGGTATGTAGGTACGTAGGCATGCTGGTATGCAGGTACGTAGGTATGTAGGTACGTAGGTATGCAGGTATGTAGGCATGTAGGCTGCAAGCATGTAGGTATGTAGGTATGTATGTAGGTGTGAATGTATGTATGTATGTATGTATGTAGGTATGTATGTATTTATGTACATGCATCCATGCGCATGCGTACGCATAAAAGCTTGCGTGCGTGCGTATGCATGTACGTTTGCTTCAGAACTAGGGTTGGTGTCCCTTGGGCTCCGCCCATACCCCCGAATCTTCACGTGCGGAGTCGTGAAGGTCTTGACTTCGGCCATGGCCATGGTTCCTTCAAAAATCTGCGCCATGGTGTTCAAGACCCCTAAGGGTTCCATGGCCCTCCACGCACTACGGCTTTTTCCTGATCGGTGCTTTGGATTGCCCCTGGTAGCTTAATTGATGGGAAACCCCTTCCCAACCAAAACCAGTCCAACTCAAACCAAACCACCAAATAGGGACGCGGTGAGCAACATCTACGATGACGCGACTCGACTGACCCAGGCACGAAGAAGTTCAGGAAGACCCGCTTCCCCGTTGTCAGCTCCTGAGACTTACGCTCTGTCTTTCCTCCTTTGGGGGGCCCTGGTATTTCTTTCTTTCTTTCTTTCTCTCTCTTTCTTTCTTTCTTTCTTTTCTTTTCTTTCTTTTCTTTTCTTTCTTTTCTTTTCTTTTCTTTCTTTCTTCTTCGGGGGCGAGGTAGGGAGAAAGCCCCCCCAGACCACTTCGGTCAGAATCCCCAAAGAAGCGAAGCGATATTTTGCCCCAAAGGAAACAAACCAGACAAATATACAAACAAACCAACCAACCAAACCAGCACAAACCTAACCTAACCGAACCGAACCAACAAGCAAACAAACCAAGCAAACAAACAAACTAACACAAACAAACCAACCAACCAACTAGACAAACCAACACAAACCTAATCTAACCTAACCCGACCTAAACCAACAACAAACCAAACAGACTAGCCAACACACAAACACAAACACGCACACAAAAAACACAGGAGAGAGGATGGGAAAAGAGAGAAAGAGAGAGAGAGAAAGAGAGAAAGAGGGAGAGAGGGAGAGAGGGAGAGAGAGAGAGAGGGAGAGAGAGGGAGGGAGAGACAGGGAGAAAAGACAGAAATAAATAATAAAAAAAGGAGAAAGGAAGAAAGCAGAGCTTTCTTTGCAGGCTGCTGTGATGAGAAAACTTGGGTACTCCCAAGAACACAGGGTGGGAAATCAGCTTGCAATGAAATGAAACCCAGGACGGATAAACCCCTGGTTGATTCTGACAGTGGGTATCAGAGGCTGTTCGATTTCCAGGTGAAAGGTCCGCCTAAAAACGCTACAAGTTGAAACCGACTACTTCGCGATTTAACCCGAATCCACGCCCATCGAATGCTTGCCTCCCAGGTGGTCTTGTTCAGCTCCAGGGCGGATGCGGAGGCCAGATACACACAAAGCAGTCGCAGCATCATGCCATGGCGCCCCGAGGAAAACTCCGCGAATGGTGATCCAGGCACTTGCCGAAAGAATTGGTTGACTACTGATCACGTTTTAAAAAGTGCATGATGAAGCCAACCCATGGGCCCGGACCAAAGCAAAAACCAGACTCGGGGATCGCAAACACCGGTCTGGTTGGGGTTACTTTCATCTGGAAGCCTCGCTTCTCGCCTAAAAACACGCTGGAGACCAAAGGAAGCGTCGAGCCGGCTCAAGTCTGCCCGCGGCGCAAGAAGTGCCATGCCGGGTCCCGTCTGAAAGCAGGGAACCCATTGGATGGCTAAAGGGAAAAAGCAAAAGCCTTAGCCAAGATCTTGAGAACCTGCAGGGCCATCCATTGCCGGAAACGCATGCTTTTGGTTGTGAAGCTTGGCCACATGAGTTTGCTGCAGAGGGAGCGACACCTGGCCAGTGCACAGGTAAGAAGCTTCTGGGCCTGCAAAAGTGTACGACTCCTGCGTGTTGCCCGATGGGAAAACCATCATTTCTCCAACAAGTCACAGGTTGAGGTACAGTGGACGACCTAGTGATTGCAGGTAGGGAACACCGGAAACCCTGTAAAACCTCCTGGCTTGTGGTTGATTTACTTTCAAAAATTGGGAGCATCCACCGTACCAAAGTGCAGTCGGCGTTATTTTCAGAGCTTACTGACGCTTGCATCGGGTTCAACAATTCCGTGGCCCTGGGATGCGCTTGGTTCTCTGGGCGCAGTAAATCGGCTGAAAAAGCGAGAGGCCAAAGGGAATGGTCAAACCACGCTTGTTTACACTTGGGCATGTGTCAAAATAGGGGACAACCCACACAATGGTGGCTTTTGCCTTCCCTTTTGACAAGTACCCCGACAAATCACACACTCACATCTTTTAACATGAGAAGGTCCGCCCTGGCCAACATGCAGCCAGCTCCATCCCCCTCCCCCCCCCCCGGCAGGCATGGGCAAGATGCGTGCCATGGACACAAGGCAAACCCCAACGACACTTCAATGTCAAGCACCAGAAACTGGCAAAAGTGACGTCTCGAAACAATCCTTTCCGACCACGACTCAGTCCTCAAGCCTTTTTCCCCACGGCTCCCAACCCACCCCACCACCCCACCCCACCCCGCCGAAAACCCGACAAAGCCCCCAATGTCGCAAGCCGGTTCCGGTTCCGGTTCACGTCAAAAGGCGACGCAACCTCTCGCAAGGGTTCCGCCGTCTCTGAGCCTCCTGGTAGACCGACTCCGCGTCGAGGCTTGGTAAAGCCACCGCCGCGCGCCCGGAGTTGCGGTCCTCGGCGGCGCCCAAAACGTGGACCAAGGGGAGCCGGCGAGGCTCCAAAACGTGGGGAGCCACCCAAATCCTCCCCGTGGGATTGTAAGAAAGGGGGTGCCCTCAGAAAGGTTCAAAACAAGTTGCTGGAGATTAGCCAAAGCCGTCGCTTTTTCGGATCCCTCGGCTGGCTCAGTTGACCCAGGAAAAGTGACTTGACTTGTTTGGCTGCCTTCCCTCAAATGATGAGACATCCTTCGAACAAGAGTTTAGCGTCTGGAAACTGAACAGGAGTGTCCGTGCGGCCATTCTTGGGCCATGAAGAGGGTAGCAACTGGCAAAAAGGTCGCCGCCCTCAGCCATCCACAGCCCAGCGCGACCCACTCCAAGACCCTCACGCCCGGGCTCGCCCGCATACGCTGGCCTGCAAACTCAGCTCGCGAATGAATCGGAACCCAGCCCAAGCTGGGACCCCCCACAGCAGGTCAACCAGGGGGTCACGGAAACAGGCAGGAGATTCGACCGGACATGGAATTGCCACCCCACCCAAAAACCAGGATGCCCTCGCAGAAAATGTCCGCTGCTTCCCCCGGCACAGGGGAAATGGTTCACAAGGGGCGCTTCTCCCATGAGGTCACCTGCCAAAAGCCCAAAACGCCAAAAAGGGACACCCGCTCATGGATCGCCCCAGAAGCGAACCGTCGCACCGGGGAGCGCAGAGGTTCAATCCAGAAACACAGAAGGGTCACTAAGGCCATAGGTTCATGTCAGAGTTATACAGGGGTCACTGGAGTCCTTCCAAAGTTGAAATTCAATCACGGCATTCGTGTTTATCTTTTCATGCCTGGTTGTGAGTTGCAATCGGATGGACAAAAACCGGATTTAAGAAACCCTGGTTTCTGTTGATTCCCCCATTGTTTCAACCATGGTTTCGTGGTGCAGCATGGATTTCGCAAACATCCACAGCATGACCTACACCCCTCTACACCTTAAGAAGTGACAGTTTCAATGGACACCATCCCCTAGTTTGAGACATCCCCATTTAGCTTTAATTTAATGAGAACCTCGGGAACAGGTGGGCAGGATGTCCAGGGAAGGCTTTCAACTGTTTAAAAACGTAATGTTGACCCCGGATGAAACCCGGGGGGCGTACCCTCCAACAGCAGTCTGAACCCTCGCTCCCCGGACACCGAGACCCCAATCAAAACCCAGCCAGCGATCCGGGGCTCCCCAAGCCCAACGAACGACTCCGCCACTGCAGCCTCCCCTTCGGCCCTTCGGCACGCCTCGACTTTCAGCCCATGGCCTTCCCTTCTTGAGCGGCGAGGCTGCGGTTTTGGCGCCGCGCAGATCTGGGATTAGTCCGACTTACCAGGGGCTTTGCATGTTTCAACTCAGGCCCAACCTCCACAACTCAATCCAGGGCTTCCCCAAAAGGAAGGCGGCCTGATTGGAGGGAGGGTGCTTGTCCCTGGCACATTGCCCGCCAAGACGATCACGCAGTTTGACCCTAAGGAGATGTTGAAAACCACAGAAGTGAAGTTACCCGGGTTCAGCGCGGGCTTGGCACGGGATCGGCTCGGCTTCGCCGCGGCTTCGCGACGGGTTCGCCACGGTTGCCCAATGGCACGGCCGCGCAACCTGAGGTGCAGATTGCGGCATCTGTTCCCAACCATGGGCGTCAGAGTTAGTGGCAGGCGCAGCACTTTGAGTTGCGCGGTTCCTGAATCTCCTCGGAGTGGACACGCGAACTGCTGCGCGCCGATTGCACGGCAGGCGCCTGTTTTCACTCTGAGGTGCAGATCTCGTGGCAGGCGCAGCACTTTCGCAAGGTCAAGTGCATTTTCGTGGCAGGCGCGCAACTTTAGCAAGGTCGAGTAAAACATTTGTGGCAGTTAGATAGATGCCAAGATAGGTAGATAGAATGGAAAGAAGGAGAGAGAAAGAGAGAGAAAGAAAGACAGAAGAATTAAGGCAAGAAAGAAAGACAGAAAGAAAGAAAACAAGAGAGAGAGAGAGAGAAAGAGAAAAAAAAGAGAGAGAGAGAGAGGGAGGGAGAGAGAGTGAGAGTGGAGGGAGGGCGAGCGAGCGAGACAGAGAGCGAGAGAGAGAGAGAAGAGAGACAGAGAGACAGTGAGCAAAGAAACAAAGAAAAGAAGAAATAGATACAGAAAGAAATGAAAGAAGTTGATAACACAAGTAGAGCTCGAAAGGCATTCTTGCAGCATAATGCTTGGAGATTGTTTTAGCGCAAGTGTCAGAGATTTGTCTGCATAGCACAAGTGGCCAGTGCAGCAGCGCAAGTTCCAGTGCATAGTGCCATTCCAACCACGCGGCGCGCGCGCCAGGCCGCCCGCCGCAGTCGGCTCGGCCAAAAAGGTGCGTGGGCGTGGGGCGGGGGATGTTTGTTTTTTCTCTTCCTATGGGCACATGTCCTTTCTTGAAACTTACGCCCTCCAGCTCTGCTGGAGCATACCTGGCAACCAAATGATACACATGCATATAATGTATATGTGCCTAGCTCCCCTAAAAACAAGTGGCCCTCCAAACACGGAGCCTGAAGACACGGCCCTTCGCCAAGTTGTCAGCTTCGGCTTTCAGCCTTTGAAGCTTGGAAAAAAGAAGAAGAAGAAGAACAAGAACGGGGATCCTTACATTATACACTTGAACATTGCCTTGTAAATGGTAGTTTCCCTAAATTTGGGTGGAAAAAGCCATGTTTCAAATGGGCAAAATGTATCTTTTAAGGAGCCCTGAAGAAAAAAACGCAGAGCCCCAAACCAGCCTTCCGCGAATTGGCGGTTCGCGTGGTGGCCTGGGGTTCTTGTGGATTGGGTCAATGGGAAAAACCACAGATTCGGCTCCCGGCCCACCACCAAACAATGGGGAAGCTGATGAGAAATCGTCTCTGGAGACATGGCTGTGGGTCAAGACCAATGTCATTTTGGGGTAGGTGAATTCACCACCCAGTTTAAGTCAATGGGATCCCATTTTGGGGTGAACTCACCCCATGTTAGTCCATTTTAGTGGTTGGATTGGGATGTTCACTGGGGGCCAACCGATTTGGGACTTGGACCCATGGCCATGTCCCATCGCTCGCTCCCAGTCCGAAAGCCCCCCTCGGAGCCTGTAGCAGACGTGGAAAGCCCCGGCTCCCAACGGCTCCCTTCCAACCACCAGCTAGCGTCCCCTTGGTTGCGACTGAAAAACATGTGGACTCAGAAAATGAAACTAGATTCTCGGCTTGACGTTGGAAAGGGGGCAAAAATAGGTTTTGTGCAGTTCAGTGGATTTGGATGTCCCTCTAAACCACAATAAGCAAAGATGGGAAAACATGTTTCCCAACGACAACCATGTGAACTGGGACTTCAGAAAGCTCATCTCAAGCGAAGCAGCTTCCCTTTTCCACCCCACCCCGCCCCCAAATCCACAGCGGAGCTCGGCATTTCAAACTCCCAGGCGCGTCTAAGTTCTGCTGTGCGCCGTGCTGTGGCCAGGCTTCTGAATTCCCCCAAACTCCCTGAAAATGTGGAAACCTGGAAACCCCCCAAGGGTGTGCAACTTCATAGATTTGGGGTCCAGTCAGGTGACACCAACTCCCCCCCCGAAATGGGCTGAAAGGCTCGCCGCCGCCGCCTGCAGGCGCCGGGAAGGCCACCGAGGCGCCCCGAATCGAAAGGCCCACCCAAAAATCCGCCCGCGTCGTGACACAAATATGGCCGTGGTTGTCAAAGCCGTGTTGGGATACCCCACTGTTGGTGGGTAGGTGAATTAATTCACCCACCCCATGATAGAAACTAGCTTAGTGGTTGGATTGGGATGTGGGAGTACGATTTGGGTTTTGACCCATGGCCATACGGGGCCCCTTCAAGCCTCACCCCGAATCGAACTGCGATCAACATCCACTCAAAAGGTGGCGCTCCAATCGCCCAAGAGCGGAACATATGGCTGCCCTTTTTTGAGGATACATCTTCTTCTGTTATTTTTTGGGGAAAAGGCCAAGGGAAGGCAAAACCCACCTTTCGCAGAGGTTCCCGACTTTTCGACACCGCACACGCGCCTTGTCAACTTGTGCGGGCGGTTTTGGGCTTTGCGCGCGCTGTGCGCTCAGCTTCCGGGGGGCGAGGAGGCGTGGCTCCTGACATCCGGGCGAGTCTTCTTCTTCACTGGGCTGCCCGTTTTCAGATCCTCCGCGAAAAGTGTTGAACTTTTAGTGGGTGAACTACGGAACTACCACTAAACACTAAAAGGCCAAAAGGCTAAGGAACCGGATGGCTGGGAGCCAGCAAGTTTAGGAATTTTAGGGAGGTCGAGAAGGAAACCTTTCAAGACGGCAACTGAAGCCAACCAGCGGAAAGTGCCACAGTGACTTTGACACGCCCTCCCAAGGCGCAGCTAAAGGAGCAGAAGCCTTCTCCAGGCATGACATCGACGTGTCGACGTGTCAACTTGTCTCAAGCTCCGCACAGGATCCTATGCTGCGGAGCTCCCTGGCAGCGGACGCTTCAGGAACAACATGGCGGAAAATTCGCACCGGGCAGTTGGCAACGTAGAAAGAAACGGCTCCTGGTATCCACCGTGTCTTTCTCGTTCAGCAGGCGCTCGATCTCTGCGCGAAACTGTCGGCGCCGGTCGACGTTCATGCGGTCGATGTCAATGACCACCTCCTGTCCAGCACTCCTCCTTCCCTCAGCCTCTCCAGCAAAATGTTGCGTTAAAATCATGCCCGAAGAGGTCCCCCCGCCTCTCACCCTCCTGCCCGTTGGCCCCCGCCTGCGTGGTCTCGTCCGTGCGCCCCTGGAAACGATCCATCAGCTCGTCCACCTGGTAGTCTTGCAGCCGCGCCACCATGCCCTGGCGACTCAATCGGTTCACCCCATCACCACTTGGCCGCCCTCGCTTGGTCATACATTTTGGCTGTAACCCTTTCAAATGGTGTGTGTGTGTGTGCCTGCTGGTTGGAAACCTCTACTCCCTGAATCCGAGTTGGCGTGATCAGCGCGGCACCCGAGCTCTACTAAGGAGCCTCGACCGCCTGCGCGCTCACTTGGACGAGAGACAGGCCGAAAACTACGGTCGCGATCCGTCGCGGCAAGGGAGTCAGGGTGTTGCGCCGCACACTCACAGCGGCGGAAAGTTTGAATGCACGGCTGTGTGATTGACTGGTAATTTCAGCATGGGGCAACACTGGCCCGGCTGTGAATAGCCGGGTTGTGACGCTGTATCGCACACGGCTATAACCTTTACAGCACAACAGCGCAGAAAGCCCTGATTGACTCGGTTTGCAGAAGGAAAGTTGCGATCCGCTAAGCCCAAAAGCCTGCAAACTGCTTCAACGTCCGCCGGTTGTTCGCTCTGCATAAGTCTGCGGTGTGTCACGATGCTGCGGCATGCGGAAATTTATCACAGGCGCACGAAGGGTTCTGCTTGGGTCCTACTCACAGGGTTCCTGCGGCCACCTGAGTAAGCGCGACGATTGAAGCAAGCGCAGAGTGAAGGACGCACCCCACTCACCCAGCTTTAAGGATTTCATCGCTTATGCGCGCGGCATAAGAAGCTTCAGGGGGTCACAGGTGAGAGCGGGCGTGGGAACGCCCCGCAAATGAGCTAAAGTGGCAAGATGCCGTGGGCTCCAACCAAATGCTAAGGCTGAAGGTCCATCCAACATTGGCCAAGTTTGTCACTATGGCTGAGGCCGGCTTGCTCATCCCCTAGACTCAGCCAGGATTTATGAAAACAGACACGGACATGGGCACCTCCTGCTCACATGTGCACCAACCACGTGCTGCGCATGCGTGTCCGGCTGGCAAAAGCACGCAAGCGACCCCGTTCCACCCCTGTTCGGGCCTATGAGTTCCTTCTTTGGGGTTGTTTCTTTGGGGGGCCCCTGACAACCATTCTAGGGCTTGATTCCCCATTCTTTTCAACCATTGTTCTTTTCAAAAACCGGATCTGTTTCCCCTGGGTTTTTGCTGGTTTCCAGAAAAACGGATCCCTGGAAAGAATGGACCTGGAAGGTACCCCTAGAACCCTGGGATTGCTGAGTGGATGGCCCCCCCCAAAAAAAAAAAACGAACCTTATATTTACCACTAAACCGGTCTTCCCAAGAAGTGTTCAAGTTCATGGACTTGTTCCTTCTTTGGGGTTGCTTCTTTGGGGGCCCCACCCTGGCATTGGCGCAAGGCCCAGTGGTATCCCCATGCATCCCATAAGCCTCTCGGGGGAAGCGCCGCAGCACCGCGCCTCTTTTATTTACCACTAAACTGGTCTCCCCCCCCCAAAAAAAAAAAGAAGTTTAAAGTTCCTGAACTTAGGAAGTGAGTGTATCCCCCATAAGCCTCTCGCTTTGGGGAAGCGCCGCAGCATGCCGCAGCGCTGCGCCTCCAGCTCCGCACGCTCCTCGTCTGTAGCAGGAACCGGCGGCGGGGGGATGTAGTCCTTGCGGTCGAACCTGGGCCCATTGGCACATTGGCCAATGTGCATAAGGCGCCTGGAAATTAAAAAGCTGTCGCCTGGAAATGGGAAAGCTTGCAAACCGTCTTTGGGCCCTGGGCTCCGTTTGTTGATTGAAAAATCCGAAAAAATAACTTACTTTGCAACAGCGGGGAGCTGGGGTGAGAATTTGCAATTTGAGGGGGGGGGTTGGTGGGGGGGGTTGGGATCCTTTGATTTGATTATTCCACCTAGCTCGCGGGAAGCGGCGCCATCCAAAAATTATGCCGATGTCTTTTGGAAATTCACTTTGTGCCGGGGGGGACTCCCTTTTGGCTTGCACTGGATGTGTGGGCCCGCGTCGCGAAGGCGTCCGCACTCAACATTCAGATGTTAGCACACCTGGTAAAAACAAGGGACCATTCGCAAAGAACACCTGCGTTGGGGGAAAACCGCTGGCGCACCCTGCGCGGGGCTTCCATTTTACTTTGCGATGATGTACCTGCAGACTGTCAGCGGCTTGGTGCAACGCCCCCCCTGCAGAGGTGTTTAACTTTTCGGGGGTAGAGTGACCAAAAGGTTCAAATCTAAAGATCCGTTGCTCAGTAGCAGACTGTCGGCGGGAAAAATGTGCAGTTTCCAAGGCGCCGGCCTTGAAAGGAAAACACCTCTCGGAGTTGGGGTCCGAACTGCCCTCGGATCTCTGTCTTGTCTTTTTGGGGTGGGGGGGGAAGGAGAAAGGCTGGCGGGAGGCGGCTCTCGCAAACCCATCCGGGAGTTTTGGTGGAAGGTCAAGCTGAATTCCAGAGAAAGATGTCCGCCCGTTGCCATGCACAACCCCAACATCTTTTGTTTGCTGCTAACCCCGCCGGTCCTGGAGGCCTGGAGGCTGGCCGACTTGGAGGCTGGCCATTTGCTGGTTGGTCCAAGGGAACGCTCCACCCGTTTCTTGGGGTTGGGGCCCTCAAGGCAGACCCCATTTGAGTCATACTCATTTTGGTACCAAAACAGTCCAAGCCCAGGACCCCGGTACCAAGAATTGAGACGGCGGAGATCCGCGGCAAGTTTTATGGCAAGGGGATTGTCCCCTTGCAAACCAAACCAAACCATCTACCCGGGTTTGGTTTTGAGCGCGAGTGACCCATGCTGCCCTTTGGAACCGAGGCGCTTGGAGTAGCCCCCCTCGTTCTTTCCCGGCGCCGGGCTCTTGAACCCCTTCCGCGGGGAGGTCGTCGAAGGCTTGGCCCCCGCCTGCGGTCGGTCCCAAAGGCAGCGCCGTTGCACACCGGCGGTCAAAAAGAAAATAAGTTGTTTGTTGTTGTTTTTGTCTTTTTTTTGAAAAAAAAAAAAAAAGCGAGTGGAAGTGTCCTAGGGGTTGATTCCCCACTCTTTTCAATAATTGTTCCTTTCAAAATCCTGCCGTTTTCCCGGGGTTTCTGGAGGTTTTCTGGAAAGAAGGATCCCTGGAAAGAATGGGGAGGAAAGATATCCTCCCTTCAAGTGTGGATGCGGTGGATGAACGAAACCTCCAAAATGTCAAGATCCAGGTGCGGTCTTCCTGGCCTCTCCACTTCCATGTTGGGAGGGCGTGTCGAAGGGAAAACCTTCTGGGGCTTGTCAACACGGTGGGCATGTTGCCTGAAAGCTCCTTAAAATGCAATTGATGGTAAGGTCATCCGCAGGTTTCGCGGGCACTTCCCTTTGATGGCTCTAGCCTTTCAGCTTCGGATCCCACAAACCGACCTTTTCGGAGCGAAGCCTTCAAGACGCCGAATCCGAAACCTGGACGCAACAAACCGCAATCCATCTGCAAGGATCTCGTGGATTAACTTTGCACGCGAACCCCTCATCAATCAAGAGTGTTTTTTTTCGGATTCATCCACAAAACCCCACTGGTCAGAGGAATCCCCCACTCTACAATGGACCATGTGTTTGCTTTCGTTTAAAAAAAAGAAATCGCCTGAGAACAATCCCAGGTTGACATTCATCAGGCACACACGCCTCCACACCAAAGGCAAACCCTGGCGCCGCGCGCGCGCGCGCCCACACCCACACCCACACCCACACCCACACCCACACCCACACCCACACCCCCACACCCCCACACCCCCACACCCCCACACCCCCACACCCCCACACCCCCACACCCCCACACCCCCACACCCCCAATGTGAACAACACTCCTCAAAACACACATCCAAAAGCCATGTGCTTTACAAGGAGATCCTCTGAACCGGTTGGTACAGGTGATTGTTGAGATTTTGTTTGGTACAGGTGATGGTTGAATTTCCTAAATGCATCTGTTTGGCCAAGAAGACTTTGGCTCATGGTCGGGATTGTTGAATTTGTTTGGCCAAGAAGACTTTGGCTCATGGTTGGCTTCGACATGTGATACAAATCAAACCCAATGTCCTTTTTCTTATTTAAGCCAACCTGAGGGTAGCCTCCACACCCCCACACCCACACACCCACACACCCACACACACACACACACACACACTTGATATGAGACGGCGAAAGTGGTGAGTGGCATCCAGCACACGAGTTTCAGGGTGTCCGCCAGGGCAACGGAGTTTCGGCTTCAGGCAAGTCAGATCATTTTTCGCTGGACTGATCATCCTCATCCGGAACGCCATCAACCAGTCCAGGTACTTCATGTCTGATCATGCAAGAAGGTGGCGTCCGACTCCAAAACCAACGAAACACGGGACTCCAAAAACAACGAAACACGGAACCCCTTAGAAACAGGGGGGCCGCACACACACCCCCCGCAGGGGGAAAAAACCAAGCAAGAAGACCCACCTTTCAAAAACCCCCGGAAGCCGCCTCCATCATGATACTCGATGGGAGATTTGGTCAGTTTTGTTTTGTCCCACCTGCCTCGGAGTCGGGAAAACGCGTCCAGGCCTTGATCAATTAGACTCACTTGATGCACATACTGCAGGGCCTGGAACCTGGCTGCTGTCACCGCCAGTATGCCGCTGCCAAAGATGCCGATGATGGCGCTGAGTGTTGATTGTTTTTTTAAAAAAGGGGACAAAAGAAAAGGAACCCAGGAAAAACACACAAAGACAAACCAAAACAAAAAGGGACCCGACACCCACAAAAGGAAAAAGGAAAACGGGGGCCCGAAAAGCAAAAAGCAGGAAAATTGCCAATGTCGCGGTCTGGAGTGAAACTTGGTCTGGTAAATGGTCTGATGAATGGGTCTGGGATGCCTGAATGTCCGGGACATGTCCAAGCCTGTGGCGAAGGGTCAGTGGAAACAGTCAAGAGTCACGAGCGACAAGGTCCGGTAACTGTCTGAAGAAAATGTCGTTACATGAGTCAGAACAGATGCGCGCAAAGGGGATCAAGACACTGACCGAAGCCCGGACGCAGTGCCTAAACACACCTGATATGAGACGGCGAAAGTGGTGAGTGGCATCCAGCACACGAGTTTCAGGGTGTCCGCCAGGGCAACGGAGTTTCGGCTTCACGCCAGTCAGATCATTTTTCGCTGGACTGATCATCCTCATCCGGAACACCATCAACCAGTCCAGGTACTTCATGTCTGATCATGCAAGAAGGTGGCGTCCGACTCCAAAACCAACGAAACACGGGACTCCAAAAACAACGAAACACGGAACCCCTTAGAAACAGGGGTGCCGCACACACACACACACAGACACACACACACACAGACACACACACAGACACACACACACAGACACACACAGACACACAGACACACACACACACACACACACACACACACACACACACACACACACACACACACACACACACACACACACACACACACACACACACACACACACACACACACACACACACACACACACACACACACACACACACACACACACACACACACACACACACACACACACACACACACACACACACACACACACACACACACACACACACACACACACACACACACACACACACACACCACACACACACACACACACACACACACACACACACACACACACACACACACACCCACACGCACCCACACACACACACACACACACACACACACACACACACACACACACACACACACACACACACACACACACACACACACACACACACACACACACACACACACACACACACACACACACACACACACACACAACCCCACACACACACACACACACACACACACACACACACACACACACACACACACACACACACACACACCCACACACACACACACACCCACACACACACCCCCACACACACACACCCACACACACACACACCCACACCCACACCACACCCACACCCACACACACACACCCACACACACACCCCCACCCCCACCCC